CTGAGGTGCAACTGATTTGAGTATAGTGCTTTTTAATGTTTTTGCTGACCATCACTTCAGGAATTCTTTCTCATAGTTCTTAGGTAGGTTCTTTTTTTTATTGTGTGTGTGTGTGTGTGTGTGTGTGTGTTCCCTTGAGTGATTTAATTCATCATAAATGATTCTTATTGCCCGAACTATAATTTTACAGGATGCAGGAGAGGACAATTTTGCCATTGTGTTTGCAGCAATGGGAGTCAACATGGAGACTGCACAGTTTTTCAAACGTGATTTTGAGGAAAATGGATCAATGGAGAGAGTGACCCTCTTTCTAAACCTGGTAATTTTTGTGAAATTAAGTTTCAAATCTTTTTGAGGTATTTGTTTCCTTGAATAATTACTTGTGCTGTCGTACTGGAAATTTTGTACTATAAAATTAGGATGAAAATGTGGGCATTTATAATATTTGTTTTTGATATTCTGTTTCTACAGGCTAATGATCCCACAATTGAACGTATTATTACTCCTCGAATTGCTCTGACTACTGCGGAATATTTGGCATATGAATGTGGAAAGCATGTCCTTGTCATACTAACAGACATGAGTTCTTATGCTGATGCCCTTCGTGAGGTAATCGTGCACTGTACCTAGCACTGTCGACAGCACTACTTGAGAGCATGTGCCAAAATAATAAATGAATTGGTAAATTATGTTTTACATAATATACTTTGGGGTGAGTTTCAATTGTACAATTGCAACAAATTGAGAAGTTTCAATTTGTGTTAAATTAGTCCAGCGGTCTGTCGCACACAGTTAGGATTTTGGATGGAACAAAGACACCAATGCCACGTGGGTTCCACATAGGATCATGAAGCTGCATATAGGATCCACACAGTGCTCCATGTGGTACCGATGTGTATATTTTCTATCCAAATCTTGTTAGGGAGTTGACGATTTGGACCAAACTGAAACTATTAGAAAAATATAAGGTTCAATTGGTTTAGTTTGTAATTGAAACTACAATGAGTAAATGAATTCACCCCAAACTATGGTGGTAGTGGTGGCCATCAGCCCACTTGGCTCGCCCAGCATGATCCTATTATTTAAGGGCTTGGGATTAGTTTTTCATAGGGCCAGGTTGGGCTGAAGTTTGAGGCCCGATTAATTGTGGGGGCAGACTTGGGATGAGCACTGCCAACAAAGTGGTGGAAATCGAACCCTCAATCTCTTTACTGATTCGAAAATGCATGCTACTAAGTTGTTATAACAATTGCATGGTTTTTTGACTACGTAAATTATTTAGGTTGGACTGTAGTTAGTTAAAAAATATATTATGGGCTGGCCAAACTGGGCTCGGGCATTAATATTTTTTTGTTGGGTGGGGCTCAGGCCAGCACCATCTCTTATGTTATAGTGTAAGCCCAGCTCAAACCCGGCCAAGCCTGGCTTATGTCACCCCTACTACAGGGGTGTGCAATATAATTTACGCAATGAATAATCTTATATGTAACTTGTTTTGTTGGTGACTCTCTGCACTATTAGAATTAGAGTAATTTGCAGACTACAAAAGGCTCCTGAAAATTGTATTTTCAAAATTTTTAATAGACAATTTAATTATGGTTTCTACTATCTCGGTCAAGTTTTTTCCTATCATTCTGTCAAGTACTTTCTGAGACTTGCTGTGAGAAAATTACTAATGGCTTCTACAGGTGTCTGCTGCCCGAGAGGAAGTTCCAGGAAGGCGTGGGTATCCTGGGTATATGTATACTGATCTGGCAACAATCTATGAGCGTGCTGGACGAATTGAGGGAAGAAAGGGCTCCATTACACAAATTCCAATTTTAACGATGCCCAATGATGGTAACGCAGTGTTGGCAAACCACATCAGCTGTCTGGCATATTACTCTCTTTAAGATTTACTAGTTACACTTAATCTGAAGTTTTTTTTATTATTGATCAGATATCACACATCCCACTCCGGATCTTACGGGTTATATTACTGAGGGGCAGATTTATATTGACAGACAGCTCCAGAATCGACAGGTAAGATCGCAAAGTTGAGTTGCATAAGATCATCAAGTTTTCTTGTTTGGTGGTTGGAATTGTAACTTCAAATTGGACTAGGTTGTACATGCCGTGCATGCAAATTTTGAGTCTCACCAATTGCATGCATACATAACTTCTCAGCTCTAGTGTTGGCTAGAGTTTAGCTTATTACTGAAATGCTCTATAAATAACATGGAAGAAATGAACATTAACATTGAGATGGTTTTTTTCCAACTTATAGAACTTACCAAAATCCATCGAGCAAGCTTGCTTCTGATTCTTATTAATGATATATTGACAGGGATTAGCTTATAAATTTTTAAACTAAAAGTTGCCTTCTTTTTGAACTGGGCAGATTTACCCACCAATCAATGTACTTCCATCCTTGTCTCGGCTAATGAAGGTAAGTATATAACTCTGTTATTTTATCATTGTTATTACTGTTAGTAGTTGTATGAGAAAATTACACTGACCATCTCTATGGAATGTTGAAAAAAAGTAAAGCACCCTTGTGGTCTCTGAAATTACACAGGCCTCCTCTGTTAGAGTTTATTAAGGGATGGAACTATCAAAAGATATAATTTTAAGCCTTTAACTCTTAATATAATAAGCACTTTAATTAAAGCACAGATTATAAAATAAACCAAATGGATGAGAAGATAACATGCAGAAAAGGTAGTGTAGTGCTGCTTGGCATGCTCGAGGCTTACACCTGAATGAGCAAATAAAAGCATTAGTATAATTGAGGGGTTGCCTTAAATTTTATTTTTGTTATCATTGCAGAGCGCCATTGGTGAGGGCATGACTCGGAGGGATCATTCTGATGTGTCCAATCAGGTTTGTTGCTGTAGTTGTATAAAATCTAGTTCACTGACTGAAGCCATTTTTTTCTTTTCTTCCATTCATATACTTATCATTTTTCACTTTCAGTTATATGCAAATTATGCCATTGGGAAAGATGTCCAGGCAATGAAAGCCGTGGTTGGAGAAGAAGCACTCTCATCCGAGGATCTGGTCTGTCACTTGGCATAATTACCATGTTGTTTTTAATTATAAGAATTGTTTATCATTCTTGTTAAAAATTTAACATTGTTAAATCTTCATGAATAAAACAGCTATATCTGGAGTTCTTAGACAAATTTGAGAGGAAATTCGTTGCTCAAGGAGCCTACGATACCCGCAACGTCTTCCAATCGCTTGACCTGGCATGGACTCTGCTCCGCATATTCCCACGTGAGCTTCTCCATCGTATCCCAGCAAAGACCCTTGATCAGTTCTATAGTCGGGATGCAAGTAATTGATGGAGTAAAGGAAATGAGCTCATATAGGCCAGTTTCTTGTTCAGTTGCTTTGGCATGAGTTGTAGGAGATTGATTTTTCACCGTAGTTTTCCTTATTGTCTTGCATCTCTCTCCTCCATCAGGTCCCAAGTAATAATGTGTGCTTATCAAGTTAAAAGACTGCAATATTCTTTCACCGATCGTGTAATCTCTATTTTTCTTATTAATTAAATTTGCGTTATCCAGATATATGAGATGGTTTGGATTTTACATGTGTGTTTCGGGAACAAATAGGCTGCTAGAATTTGATAAGCCCTTATTTTTATGATCTTTATTTTTACATCTCATTTGAGAAGTATATATATCTTATTTTTGGGATTTTATTTACTATTTTTTATTATTATTATTATGCTTTCATGGTTTGTGGCTTGTTCTGTTTACATGTTGAAATGCATTTGATTCTTGATTGAGATGGAATGAACGTCTGGACAGTCCTATGCTCATTGGGAAACCTTACAGGTGGGGGATGTTGGCGATGGGCAAATCCTGTCAGCACTGTTAAGCCCTGTTTGGTGCATCTTATGGGTGCTGTTTATACTTTTTATGTATTTATATTTATATTTTTAAATTCATGTTTGATTGTTTAATATAGTTTTTAGGTATAGCTTATTAGATAAATTTACTTTGAATAATCTGTAAAAAAAATTATTAATTGGCCAGTTGGGAGAGGATTGTTATGTTTTTTTGATTAATTAGCTTTTTATTTACAAAAAAAATCGAACCAAATAACTGTTTTCAAACTATGTACATTTTTAATACCCAGAAAAAGTAGGTATAAGTACCTCTCGGGGGAAGAATTGTTTTTATATTTTGCATTTTAACCTGTGGAACCTTGAGTGTTTTTTTTTTTTTTTTTTCTAAAAAAGAAAACAATTTAGAAAATTGACTTACTTTTCAAACTATTTGAGAAACTAACATGTTTTTTAAAATCTAATTTTGAAAATGCGATTTTAAAATTAAAATTACATTTTCAACATATAATTTCACATTGAAATAACATGTTCAAAATGCAATTTTAAAAAGTGAAGTTCATGTCATCATAAATTTTTTTTTCAACATGCGATTGGAACCTTACCAAATTGGAATATGTTTGAACATGTTTGTTTTTTGGGATTTATTTTCCATGGCAGAGGGTATCATAAATCCATGAAAGGACAGACAAAATTAGCATGTAAATAACATCAAAACTATTAAATTGCAAGTAGAACTGGTTTTTTTTTCTTTCTCAGAACGCAAATAGAACTGTTAAACGAATTAAACTAGTCAAATTTGTCCCGTTAAAAGTTCGGTTGAATTAAGTTTTTAAACCAAACTTAAACTTAAACAAGGTATAACTTGGCTTAACTCTATTTGATGCATTATAAAGAGCCAAGCTACTCAAGCTTGGGTCATGATAGATTGCTTAAAATCAGCTCAGAACATAAACAAATTATGCTTGAATACCATCTGCCCAAGACTTGTAACCTGTTGTACGCAAAAAAGCCTTTAACAATCACAAGATCCAAAATTATATTTTTTTTATTGTCACAGAAAATGATCAACTTTCAATGAATTCATCAGCATCCATAGATTTCAGTGATCCAAACAGATTATTGTGTTACAATTCACAGATAAATATCATTTCAAGGGACATCAGAAGTGAACTCTCTCATTGCCATTTAAACATGATGCAGTAAACAACAATTTTGGAACATGAAATTGCAACTTGAAAAAGAAACATTGACCCAAACTTTTCCTTCAAAATATTATACAAAGATCCTTATAGGGCCTAATTAATCTTCCAAATAAACCAGGATTTTTTATTTTTATTTTTTAATAAAGTTTGTAACTAAGAATGAAAAATAAAAATAAAAAAAATTGAAAGAAAAAACAAAATTAACTCATCCTGCTTTTGATGTTCTTGTTACATGTGGCAGTACAACTGAATCAAGGTTCCCAGGATAAGGAGTCCACAACCCTAACCCTCCCCTACTCTCTTTCAAACCACTATTCTTTCCCTTAAACTCATCCAAGGATTTCACCCATTCGATTTTGGAAGAATGCTCGCGAGTGTGAGGGTGCAACACAAAGATCGAGTTGTACTCGCAGTTTGGAAACATAAAGAATTTGAACGGGTGCCCTAACCTGTAAACGACGTAGCCAAAGCTTAACTGATCTCTCGGTGTAAAGAGGTTGACCTCGTTGAACCACAAGCAGCTAAATAAATCATTCAGCGCTGTATGTTCACGTATAATTATGGCTCCCTCTGGCACATCTGCATTTTACCACCAAAAAAACAAAACAAAACTGTCAATATAGCACAAATATGAGCAGAATACTAGAATAATAAAACGAGTTCTGAATTTACCATTATGTTGTATGGTACTTCTAACGGAAATTAAAGTGATTAGTCAAGAGCATTCATTATGTACAGTGTGCCTCATGACTTTGAGAAGATTATTCCTTCTTTTTCCTCCAAAAAAAAAATACCGCAAAGCCCATATCTCAGCAGAGATCCATGGGCATTTATTTTGAGGTGATCCACAAGTGATAACATTTCTGACCTTCACCTCCCTTGTGGCTTTGCTTAAAACCCAAAAAAAAGAAAAAAAAAAAGAAGAACAACAACAACAACAACAATTGAACTAAAATACGCTGGGATTTCTTTCTTACCACTGACGGTTTTTTTCTTTGGACTCCATGGCTTCATCCCTTCATAAAGGTATATTTTCATGTGAAGATCAATCAGAGGTCGAGCATATCGCTTCCTCCGTTTGTTTGCATCAGCCTCCTCATATATACTGTGATGGTGCTTGCGCTGAGCAATGGCAAATGTGTGCTTTCCGCGCCACAAGTATCTGCGAAATCATGACAAAATTTGTCTTAATCAAGAGGCCCCATTAGTTAAAGGTTAACTTGATTAGATCATCTCAAAAGTCACAGCATTATTGCAGTTTTGAACAATAGACTAAGATATCAAAACTTTTAAGGGCATAAGCATACTCTTCATCCAATTACATGCATATGTTTTGTTCCAATAATTCGCTTTACATATGCCAATAGAGATGCACTATGCATTAACGCACAATGTGCACACCATTACGCGCACATTGACATTTATGCAATCAATGCATCGACACTTTAGTCTTGTGTTTAACTTAAAGCTTGATTGAATATGAAACATTACAAATACAGATTTGTCCACATTAAACAAGAATAGAAGACCAGACCTTTCTAGCATAAGCAATGGATCGACTATTAGCTCCATTTTACCATCAATCCATATGCTGTACTGTGCTTGAGGAAATAATCTGTGGGTTAATATTTTGGGAACTTTTCCATTCCTCCTGGGTTCATCATAAGGTTGATGTTTCAGCAGAATAATACGCCAAATACCAACCCATTGTCCCCCATCATTGTCCTCTCTGACAGTAACATTCTTCTTGATGAAATCAATGGATATTTCATCCACCACCATAAGAAAACAGAAGAGCTGTTGAGATCGTGAGCTGACATTGGAAGGCTGATGAGGCACATCATATCCATCAAAAATGCCAGATGCAACCACAAACCTACACTTCTCCACATATTTGATGTCCTTTGGAGCCATCTCTGCAACGCCACCTTGAATGAAACCACAGTGCACCTAAAGATAGAAAACACAAGAAACAAGTAAAATCTGATACATATTCAGAAAGGAAGGCAAGAGTGACACTGTGTTCTCATAAAAATAGATTACACAGTAAACAATTAAAAGCTGATATAAGTTTAGAAGAGAAGGCAGAAGCGACGGTGTATATTTATTTACAATAATTCACTCACAAAAAGTTATGGTTGAATCATGTGCAGATCTACTTATCTCTCATTTTTTGCCATTTTGTTTAGAAGCCATCATCAAACTCAGCTAACATTATACATACACATTTAAAGAACAAAGCACATAATAAGCAATAGTACCATAATATTTTAGTTGACTGCAAATTGCCTCCAAGGTTTTTCATTTATCTAGATTGCAGGTTTTTCATTTATCAATGGGCCTTTAAACATAACACATATATCCAAAACGCAGAACATCTGTTCATTTAATGCAATATGCTCATAACATTTGGCTTAGCTTTGCATTAAGAATGACAAATAATCCTTTTGTTCCAAAAATACTTACTTGACCAAATGATATGGAGATTTGGTCAAGAAAATAAACAAAAATAAATTAAGAAGAATTGAACTGTAAATTGGGGTAAATATTCACCTTCATGATTGATTTTAGTTTAAAACTCTCCTCTCTTTGCAACCAGCTTTGATGCCCTCCAAATAGTGGAGGTGACTGAGATCCATTATTTTCTACCTCATCCTCCAAAATATATGATAAATGTTGAACAACTTTGTCAGGAGTTCTTCTCTTCGGCATAATTATTTTGTCCGGGTCATCCACGACGGGAATAGGACAACCTAATTGTATGCCAGCACAAACAATATCACTCGTCATCTTTACATTGAGATGAAAAATTCAAACAACAGACATTGCTGTGATCTTACGGTGTGTTGGTTTTGGTACAAGTCCCATTGTGTCTAACATTACAAATACCTTGCTGTCTCTGTTACAAATAGCTGCAAATGAAACAGAAAAATTATAGAACCATCATTTCAAACAAATAAAATAGAAAAATATGTGAATTTGGGGTAGAAAATTTGAATTGCATGTGAATTTTCAATTTTGCATCTAGCATGCATAGCCCAATCTCCTAATTCATACAAAAACTTTTAAGAACTAGAAAAAAATGAAGCCATGACAACAGGAACTGACAAAGAAATAACTTTCTTTGTGGCATTTCCTTAACTTTATAAGTTCAATTCCAAACACTTAAAAATCTTTCATACTGCTCCTTCCCAACAACACCAACCAAGAAGAAAAAGCGACCTTCCAAGGAGAGGCTTTGTATGGGCCATCTAACGCTAATGTGGCCAAGTATATTTTTGCCAACTGCCAGGTAATTTACCCTAAATATTAAATGTTTTGAAGAAGGATTGTGTCAGTCCCACGTTCAGGACTGTTAATTTCATAGATGCCACAAACAAACGCTTTTGACATCAAACCTTCTAATAAAAGAGCAGACAAAGTCCGCATTAAGGCAGTAATTGCATGTGCACCATATTACCATAGAATCAAAATGGGCAGCTGCTTCTTCTAGCAAATTTTCCTACTAGTGCACATAATAATGACGATCATTTATAAAAACTTTCTTCGATATGTCTGCTTAATTATTTGCCTTCATAATGAAAGCACGGAACCAACTTAAGAGATTGACCTCAGATGTTAATGTCAGTTAAAATATTATGCTAAATATTCTATCATTTACATCCTGCAAAAACTTCCTTTGAAAGGTTTCCATATCATAATATGAAGACAAGAAAGTATAAATTGAAAACTTATATTCAATTAATATTACCCCTCCGTCCCAAAATATTAGCCCCATTTGGAGAATTTAACTTTTTTTTGTAGTACAATTGTTACACTTCAAAAATATTAACTTTCTAAAACTACCCCTTGGTAGTACAAGTATTACACTCCAAATAATGCTAATGAATTTAAAAGAAGGGTAAAAAAGGAAATTCATGTTATTTTAGTTATTGAATTTTTAAAAGAGACTAATATTTTGAGATAGTGAAAAATAGAATAAGAGACTAATATTTTGGGGCGGAGGGAGTAACAAGAAATAATTACAATTCTTTGAATAAGAGACGTACTGATATCTCCAAAATACCTGAAAAGAAAGCTAGGGAAGATTGGCAAGACCAAACATGAAACAATAGTACAATGAGAATGAGCAGCATCCACAAGATGCCCCCCACAAGAACCAAACGAATAAAAGCCTTCTTCCAAAGAATCTTCAATGGGTAATCTTGAGACAACTTCAGTCACAAATTGATTAAACAATGACTCCTGAATTCGATCAAAGAAGGTGCTGACATGGAATGAAGACGCAAGGACCTTAACCACGAGGGTCTTCACTAACCATAACAATGCACCAACCAAGAAACAAACCAAAACCTTATTCACAAACAGAAGGAACTTAATGTTTGTCTCTCTCTCAATCCTTTTATCAAACAGATAATGCCAAGCAATCAAAACCATACCCAACCAAATACAATTCTGAACCGGCTTCCTCACTCCATACACGAAATACAGAACCCTTTTTCAATACTATCCTTATATACTTGTATCTTGTAACATTTTCGATACTATCCTAAAAACACAAACCATCCCAATGAGTCAAATTTTATCCTGTGTTTGTGGGCTTAAGAAAACATGATTTTGTCACTCTCAAGTGGGCTTAAAACTCTCAATTGGTGAATTGTTCCAATTCAAATAACCCAACCTTCACCCACAGGCATTCAGACAGTTATATCACATAAGCAAATAGCCTCATGGTAAGCCTGCTATCATGGCAGCTACTCACACGCATGCAAGGATGCTAAAGCATAAATACTTACCGAGTACTCCAAGCCAAAGAAAGAAGCTAATTAGAAATCACGCATGAATCCTAACTATACTGAAATGCCTAATACAACACATGCAAAAATGTAACTACGATAGGATCGGCTATTCTAAAATGGCATATGAAATGCAACAACTGATATACGTATTCAACTCGGAATTGAAATACAATGCAGTTAGTATGATGCGCCGAGCCCGGTGCATGCAAGACAGATAAATGGATGCAAACATGTGAGCATAAGTATGCTAATTGAAACGTGCCCTAAACTAACCATCATAAGCTGGTAAATAAAAGGGAGAAAGACGTGGGGTTGGAAGACATGCATCACACACACGCACACACTTATTATAACATTGCCCTCCTCGGAGGGTCCGAATGAATAGTACAGAATAAACTAGCTAATCTAAGCTAATTAAACTAATTATTACACAACATTAATTAATTAACGGATTAACTAAGTAAGTAAGGAAACTAGCATACAAATTAAACAAAATGGATTGCCTCAGCTCTGTTCCAAATGATAAGGATGTATGCATTGTCAAGTCGCCTTGTCAAGAAATCCATCACGATGCCCCGATTTGCCTTTGTTTTCAACTGGTCCCAGAACACTGTATAAAGCTCTAGAAGGCTGCTGACCAGTTTTTGCTGTTGGTTTCCGGTTTGCTGCAACAGAGAGCGAGAAAGGGGCATGGCAAAGTATTTTCAACATATGTGTGCATGACCACTCTCCCCATCATTGCACAAGCTCCAGGGAGTGTAGTCCTCGATCCTCGTGCCACCAATCACGCATCTCGATGCATGATGGTCGAGGAGTCGGATTGCACGACTCGATGTAAAATGAATGCACATATAAACACAACAAGGCCTAAACTCCATCATGGGTAATTCGGAGTGTCGGCGACCGAGAATCGAGGCACGTTTAATCACTTGGAGTGTGAAACATCCCTCGTTTCCCGTGTTTGGACTAAACCCTATTCCAAACACAATGCAATTTACATGGCATACACATTACGACTAGTATGCAACCCTAAACGCAATGCAACCTGATCATGCTAGCATGCGAGGAATGATATGCAAACATGCAACTAGCATACACAATGCTATGAACTAAGAATGACATACTCAATGCACATGAACATGAACTATATGGCATACGCAATGCACATACGAAGATGGACATGCACGAAGACATGAATAAGGCATACACAATGCGACGATCAAGCATGCGACAACATGGATATGGCATAAATAATGCAAGATGGACTTAAACTAAAATGAATGGGCCTCAGCCACACTCAAATCAGTGGCCAAAAGTGATAGATGAAGGCACCAAAATGCAAAGCAAACATGTATGCTAACTAGCCTATCACTTAAGCATGGAAAGGGGAACTTTTAAACACATTTAAAAAAAAAAAAGACTAATGTAGACAAATGACATGCATGCTAAGCTCTGAAAATGTGTAAAGGATGATAACAAATCAACCAAGCCATGTCAGTAAGACATGCAATGAAGGCCGAAACTTGAGGCTAACAAAAGGGGGTCAAGCTATGGTCATACCAACCAAGCCTCAAAGAACCAAAATGACTTAAATCATTCCTAGGGCAGAGGACATGCATGGAACATGACCAAAACATGCTAAGAAATAAGCACCAAAACAAGGGCATTCAAGACTACAAAGAGAGTATTCCACTACAACCACCTCAACCAAACATGGCATGGGTTAGGTAATGAAAAACAGAGCTATAATATGCCAAAATGAGTCCCAAAACCCACTGATATGGCATCCCAAAGACTTAAACAAAGAGGCATGCACAATGACCACTTTTCAAAGCATAAAACAACAACTCTTCAAAGCATTGAAAGGATGGTAAATGTAAGCATACAAGCATGGAACATGGACTGAAATAGCATGATAAGTGATTCCAAATTACTGAAATATCCCAAATAAAGCATGCTCATGACTCACACACCCAAAGCTAACAAACTAAAATGCATGGTGGTTATACAAAACATGGCAAACATGACCAAATCAATAACAAACAGAGCTTAAACATGTCACAATATGGCTAAAAGCTTCATGAAGTCAAACTAAAACATGCAAGCATGATGGTCTAAATGCATGCTACATGTTATGACAATAGAGGGGATTACAAAGCAAGTGCATGATGCATGCAATAGGCTATCAATCTGACCAAAAACAAAGGTATAATATGATAAGCTAACACCAAATAACCACTGAAATAAATCCAAATAAAGCTAAGCAAACGTGCTACCTTTATGAGCCCTAAATGCAAGTAAATGAGGGGGTTCCAAATCCCTAAGAGAAAGGCACAAAAAGAGGCCAAACAAAGCCTAAGAGGGTGTAAACAACCTCCAACCTAAAAGAAATCTTAAAAAAACATCTTAAGCATAAAAATACAGAACTTTTATCAGTTATACATTAAGCTCAAAACAACATGCAAGATAGGTTAAAAGCTTAAGGCAAAATGGGAAATAAAAGAGGTAGTTCTCACCCTTGAAGAACACTTCAAGAACACCAAATCCAGCACCTCCTTTTGATCAAAACTAACTCAAAAACTCTGAAATCAACCCCTCAAGAACCGAAGTATGGTGTAACACTAGGTGTCTTAGTGCAAAACTAAGAACAAAAACCCCTTTGGAACACTTTTACACACACAAATCAAGAGAGAGAGGGAGATATAGAGAGAGAGAGTGATATATCATATATATCAGAGTTCTTCAACCTCTGGAAAGGGAGGAGAGGGCCTCCTCTTATAGGAATCCAATTCCTAAGCTTCTTGGAGAAGCTTACATAAGGGAGCAAATCCCTCCATACACGTGTATGGAGGGGGTGTATCACAGCTGGCATAAAATATCTGCCAAAAGCAGATAGAAAGGGGTCGGCTGGAAAATATGGCCGATTGACCAACAAAAGTGGCCGGTCGACCAAAAACATTGCCGACCGACCGACCGACCAAAATATTTGGCCGGTAGCAAGAAAACAGGGCCGGTGGCTTCAAGCCAAGGCCGGTGAGGTGTGGGGATGGCCAACAAGCCATTCCCTGTCCTCAGAAGCAAAAACACAAGTGTTTGGTGCATAACCAAGCACAAAACAAACAAGTCAAGAGGTCTCGAGGCAAGGTGCGCGACCGAAACCTCTGAGAACTCAAGACGAACACGAACATAGATGATTATCGAGTGTTTAAACGATGGCGTCCAAGTCTTGAGGACAGTCAAAAATGGGGTGTCTACAAGATCGTGCGATGCATGTTTGTTTCGTGGACTTCCAAGAAACAACAGTGCCTCCTAGAGTAAAGACATATCCACTAGTGGATTTTGTATCTTTAGTATCCGATATACAATTGGCATCACAAAAACCTTCGAGTACTGCTGGATAACGAGTAAAGTTTAAACCATGATCACAAGTAAATCTTAGATATTTAAGAACCCGAATGATTGATTTCCAATGGTCTTCTTCGGGGTTACTAGTGTACCTACTCAATTTACTGATTGCATAAGCTATGTCAAGACGAGTACAATTCATTAGGTACAGTAGACTTCCATTGATTTAGGAGTATTTTAACTGAGACACCGCATCACCTTTATTTTTTGATAAATAAAGACTGATGTCTACAGGTGTTCTAGCTATATTCATATCATCCTTGATAAATTTATCAAGAATTTTCTCAATATAATGTGATTGAGATAATGCATATCCGTCAGATGTTTTAGTAATTTTCATTCCTAATATAACATCTGCGACCCCCATATCTTTCATATCAAATCTTTTATTAAGCATTTGCTTAGTTGATTTGATCATGTTTTGACTGTTTCCAATGATAAGAATGGCATCCACATAAAGACAAACTATGACATATCCTTGGTCTAACATAGACGCATTTGTCACATTCGTTTATCTTAAACGCATTAGTAAGCATTGCGTGATCAAATTTTTCATGCCATTACTTAGGTGCTTGTTTTAATCCATAAAGAGCCTTTACAAGCTGTAGACGTCCCCGAATGTCCCGGGAGGGAATCCCGTTTTGTTCATTTGGGCTTACTACAGTTCGGACTCAAATGTCACGATTCTGAATCTAATCCCGCAAAGTGCAATGCGAGACCAATAAATCACCAAAGAGTCCAAATCCGGTAAATCGTTTTGAAAAACAGATTTTTAGAAAGAAGTGTCAAACATGGACTGCTTTGCTAGATACAGAGTCGCCACCTAAATATTTTATTTTGGGGGAATTAGGAAACCCTGACTCGTGTCGAAGGCCACGTGTCCGTCTTCACCAAAGTTGCCTCGGCTCTGGAACTTGGGTACGATTGGAGAAGGTCACTTCGTGAGCACCCTCGCTCGCCCGATCAAAGATCGGCCTCTACTAACCATGATATCGAGTTTTGAAAACATTATGTGCTCTTATTCCAGTTATTAGCCTAGAATTACTATGTGATGCGTACAGCATACAAGTATAGACTGGATTGCCTAAGTTGGAACAAAGCATCGCATATCCGTTTATTTTTTGAAAATGGATTGAAGTTTGCTACTCGCAAGTAGGCTAAAACACGGGTTTCGACGAATTATTCCAACTCAAGCAACCCAACCTTCACCCACAGGCATTCAGGCAGTTATATCACATAAGCATATAACCTCATGGTAAGCATGCTATCATGGCAGTCACTCACACATATGCAAGGATGCTAAAGCATTAACACTTACCGAGTACTCCGAGCCAAAGAAAGAAAC